ACTAACATCACTAAACGTAAGAAAATAGTTCAGAAAAAGTAGGTCGTCTAAGATCGAATTAAACTGTTTACTAACCACATGTTACTAATTTCTTAAATCTGGTTTTAAGTAAACATTTTATTTGTCCAATGTAGAATAACACTTTTTATTGGTATCCACAGTATGAACTCTCAGTACTGAGCTACAATAATTGCTGTATCGTTTTACGAACCTTCATGATTTTCTGAGTTTCTTTTTTCTATAAATCTAAATATGTGTAAATTCATTCTACTTGTTTAGTGCTGCAGTTAAAACTATCCGTCAACAATGTAGTGTATGGGGCCCTTTAGTCTTTAGTTGAGCGAGAAACAACTCCGGGGCGGAAACAAAGACGGCATTTTCCGTCTACGGTTACGGATGGTGCTATAAATAAGGAAAGTGAATGGGGAAGGAGATTAAAGAAACGTGAGACGAAGACACACGTATAGGATCTATTAGGGTTTCTTTTTTGTATTAAGGGCGTTCTGTACCTACCAGTCGATGATAAATATTAGAAGAAAAAAAGTTAGTTGTAAGCTAAGCTTTCGGAAAATCTATGGTACACAGTTTTCTTTTTATTGCCTAACTTTTGGGCAGAGAGTTTAATCACGTGGTTTAGGTGAAATATATGGAATGTAATCAGAAACATAAAAAAAATAACAAAGTCTTAGCTACAATAAAATTAATAAAAAATTAGGAAAGGAAATTTCATAAATACAATAATAACTTTTAAAATTACAGCAGATATCGTTTATGTTGACTATGTCGAAGCTGGAGTTCCCCAGGGCAACGTGCTAGGGCCCATTTTGGGTTTGACTTATACATATAGCCTACTTAAAAGCCACAATACTCTAGTCACATATGTGGATGATACCGCAATTATATAATCATTGTGATCCTAATAATGCATTTACAACTGCTCTAGAATAACATCTACAGAATGTAGAAATGCCTAAGAGACTGACTCATTAACGTTTATGAAAATAAATCGGTACACGTGACCTTTACAAATCGAAAATGCACTATATAAAAAACAACTAGCACACCAAGAAAATGTTAAAAAAATATCTAGAAATGCATTTTGACCGTAGATTCACAGGGAAAATTAATATTTTCACTAAACGAAAGCAATTAGGACCATAATTGAATAAATTCTATTAGGTAATGGGACGCAAATCTCGAATATCACTAAAATATAAACTAGTGTACAGAATTTTACTCAAACCTGTGTAAAAATATGGAATCCAACTATGGGGTTCACATTAAACTCCAACGTAAATATACTAAACAGATTCTAGTCCAAACTACTACGCTCCATAACCAATGCCAATGAAACATGCATGAGTACATGTCATTGGACATCTGACCTGCACGTTTCTATTTAATGTTAAAATATTTACTTATATATTAATGAAGTTATGCATTAATGCTCTTTTGGCTTAGTCGCTGCGCATTAGCTGTCATATATTACATTATTAGCTCATTTCCCCTACTTCCCCGTTTTTTTCATTCGATTTGGACCAGTAATAGTGGAGATAATAACTAATGTTAATATCATTAACACTGTGCACGAGTTTTCCTTTAACCGTAATCTATGTGACCTCTCCATCATAGAGTCGTTTGTTTCATGCAAATCGGACCAATATTAGTCGAGATGTACGTTAATGCCCTTTTGGCTTTTCAACTGCGCATGATTGTTTTCTTCAACGCTAATCTATATTATGTGTTCTTTAAAGTGTCGTTTTTCCCATGCAAATCCGACCAATAACATTGGTTTTGCAACTGCGTGTTCATTTTGTCTTCTACGTTAATCTATATCAAGTTCTCTACATAATGCCGTTTTTCCCGTTTGGATCGGGCCCATAGCAATTAAGATATACGCTAAGGCCACTCTGGCTTTTTGTTCTGCGCATGTTTTTTCTCTTCGACGATAAAAGAAAGTTAATTCCCCACTCCCCCCACTACCCCGTTTTCCCCTCAGACCGTCTGTCTCACTCTTATCCATTGAATATGTACCTCTCACTCTTACACATTGAATTCCCTATGTGGGCCAGAATGAACTTTGTTTATCTACTTTAACGTTTACCTATTTTCGTTCATGTAAACGATGGATGTCATCTTCGATCGCTTATTTGAGTTGCAAACCACTTATGCAAGTTTCAATTCTCAACATTGATTGGTGGCGCCTTTTCTCGGTAACTTTTAGAAGTGATGCTCCAGGACAAACGTTGTTCATTTATTACCAATTTAAAAAAAACCTATAATACTATGCCTATGCACCCCTTTACGAGTGAATTTTAACCTCATAAATAGAGTTTGTGCAGGGTAAGGATAGCAATTATTATTATTTGTCATTAATATTATTATGTAAGTACCTTATATTTGTGTTGATACATCAATCGTGTATTTTTAACTGTGATATTTTTTAATCTCTATATATTGTCCCTATTCATATTTTTTGTAAAAGTTGATAATTATTTTAAAACACCTGAGTACTCAACTTTGTATAAATGTTATTCGTACCTATAGCCTATTAACGTAATAATAAGGTTTATAAAATCTAATACTTTCTTCATAACAATATTAATGATAAATAATGTTTTAAAGTCTATAAATAATGCAAGATCATATATACCACCCTCTAAAACAAAAATCACTTATTACAAGAAAACAGTTAACTAGCGGCAAATAAACCAAAACCAATTAGAAGCATAAAGTGTATCTATAGTAAGAAACTAATGTACAATAACCACAAGTAAATAGTTCACTAACTGTAGGTCGTCTAAAAACTAATTAAACTGTTTACTAACCACAGGTGACTAATTTCAGAAATCTTGTTTTACTTACTATAATTAAAGATTTTACCTGTCTCATATAGTATACACATTTTTATTTGCGGTAAGTAAAAGTTCGCTAACGGTTAGTGAATTTTTTTTTCTGTGTAGTTGTAAAGTTAGCCAAGTCCAAATATTGAACTGTATAAAACCAATGTAAACCATCTAAATATTTGGAAAGTACTGTGTTGACCAGAAATGTCAAATATCATAAAAAGGTATCTATTTTTACTTATACTAATTATGTTTGATCAATTCATGAACGAATTCTGTTTCGAGTATACTCACAATATTTATTTGTTCACTATAATTTGAATAGAAATCAGATTACCAAAATACTTCAATTTTTTATTAATAAAAATCGAATTTTAAATGTATGTATACGGTTTGTCGTTTTTCACACAACAATATAGATGTATAGAATTCATTCAATTTTCAAATTTCTATTTCCAAATGTCAAATGTTGATTTCTAATTATCAAATGTCAACTTCCAACTGACATATATCAACTTTCAACTGCCAAATGTCTTCTATTGCAATCTATATAAGTAATTGCTCAAATGTCAGCTTTTGACTTGAAATATCAACTTCACTCTGTCATATGTCAACTCCTAATAGATAAGTATCGACTTTTAACTATGAAATATCATTTGTCATGTTTAATTGCGATCTGTAGCCGTTTTTGCCTATATATCAACTACCACTTTCAAATATGAACTTCTAATTTCAAATGTCAACCTCTAACTGATATATCTAAAGTTTAACTGTCAAATGTTAACTTTGCCAGTCGAATATCATCTTTCATTGCTGTTAAAAAATAATTTACCTCATACATTCCTTTTGTATCTCCCTTTTTCTATTATTATTGACCTGAATGTTTAGTCTAATGTATTAAAAAAAAATTGATTGACAGAAAAATCATGATAATTAATAATTAATTTTGAAAAGATGTTAGACAGAAAATCTTTTTATGTCCATTTGTATGTCCATTTGTCCGTCCAATTGTCTTATAATAATTTAAAAGTAAATTCCCGTATGGATAAAAGGATAGAAAAGTATTAAATTCAAAATCAGGCATATTTGTTTCCTAAACTTTTCTTAAATGTCAACTTTCAACTGACATATATCTTCTTTCAACTGTCAAACGTCATTTTGCAATTGCGATCTGTAGAAGTTCGGACTTAAATGTCAAAATGTCATATTTTAACTTCAAATATCAACCCCTAACTGATAACTACTGACTTTTAACTGTAAAATATCAACTTTTAACTCTTAAAGTTCATGTTTCATTGTAAAATGTCAACTGCTAAATAAAAATGTCAACCTCTAACTAAAAACTATAAAGTGTCAACTTTTAGCGGTTAATTGTCAACTTTTTACTGTCAAATGGCATAAAAATAAACAATCTACAAAATTCAAATTTTTATATTGAGAAATATAAATTTTAACATATCGCCGGTGTCATTCTAATATCACGTGAGAACAATAATCAAATTTTACAGAAGTCAAAACCACTTTGTGAATAATAGAAAGTTCGTGATAAAAAAATGTAGATTTTAAGTGAATCTTATGCGGTATTAGAAAGATATCGGAGATGTAAGTCAAATATCAACAAATAAGTGATAAAATGTATTAATATATTATTTAAACTTCTAACTTTCAAATATAGTTCAAATATAGTTATCAAACGTCATTTTGTAATTTCACATTTCAAATTATAACAGTCAAACATCAACTTCCTATTGTCAGATGGCATCTTCCATTACGATTTGTTCAGATATCAACTACTAACTAAAATTTGAACTTCCAAGTGTCAAAAGTCAACCTCTAACCTCCAACTGATATTTTACTACCAAATGTCATCTTCTGCTAAGATCTGTGACCGTGAAATATTAGCTTCTGTTACATAACTTTTAACTGTTAAATATCATTTTCCATTGCAATTTATGGCAGTTCTGGCGCCAACTTCCACTACTAACTTCAAATATAAATTTGTAACAGTAAAATGTCAACTTCTAATTGCTAAATGACACTAATGATATATTTATAATAGACATCACTTGTTGAACAAAAAACAGTAAACTTGTGAAAAATGACATCCTCCTTACAACAAAAACGAAATAAGCGTTATTTTTCTTAACTAATAAGGTTACATCAATATGATGTGCACAGGCCAATTTCCAGGACTGTATCCGCCTCTCCCCGTAGCCACCCCCTGCATAAAGGCGATCAGCCCCAGCGAGGGATGGACGGCCGGAGGTTCTACCGTTATCATTGTAGGAGATAACTTCTTTGATGGACTACAGGTCGTTTTCGGGACCATGCTGGTGTGGAGCGAGGTAAGATTTTTATGTTTTTTCGATAGAATAAAAAAAGTCGTCTTTCCAGAAATGAGGGTTGTAGAAAGCCGAAAGGGTCGCGTATATGACGATAGGACGAATATTTTATGGGGGTTAGGGTAATGGACCGGGTCGCGGACGGCTCGAGTAATGTTTTTTTTTACTCCGTTTTGGGGGGTTAGGTGGTTAAAAAATCAATAGTCAATATTCTGTTCTCGTATATCTATCAAAATCAAGTACAAATGAACTTAATAATCCGAATAACTTTATTAATCAGCCATTTCTTTTATTTTCAGTTAATAACACCCCACGCAATAAGGGTGCAAACCCCTCCTCGGCATATACCAGGAGTGGTGGAAGTAACGTTATCTTATAAGTCGAAGCAATTTTGTAAAGGATCACCCGGTAGATTTGTATACGTATGTAAGTATTAACAACTACTACATATACTTTTTTATATAAATTTCCTTTAAATAACATTATTTAATAACATTAATAATTTGTTGCAGCTTTAAATGAACCAACGATAGACTACGGATTCCAAAGGCTGCAGAAGCTCATACCAAGGCATCCTGGTGATCCTGAAAAACTACCCAAAGTAAGTCCTAAGTTTAAAATATCATGCGGGTGATGTAATCGTTTTGTTTATTTTAACGTGGTTTGGTAATGTCGTGAGTGTATCTCACAAGTCGATTATTAAGAGTTTGCTCAATTTATTTATTATTATTACCGGGTCAAATGCGTCGATAAAAAGCATTTTTTAATTAAGTTGTGATAATATGTTTCATACGTTAATTGTTTTCAGGAAATCATCCTAAAGAGAGCAGCAGACTTGGCGGAGGCCCTTTACTCGATGCCCAGGAACAATCAACTCTCCCTGTCGGCGCCCAGATCGCCCACGATGGGCAACAACGGGATGACGTCGACGTTCAACGCCTACACGGGCCAGTTGGCGGTCAGCGTACAGGACAACGGAAACGGTCAGTGGACAGAAGGTGCTTGTCCTTCCTTGCTTCAGATTTTTGCTTAGTAGATGCTAGAGTAAGACATCTTGTTTTTGACAGGTATTTTAGTGATCGTACAGAATGTCTAGTTTATTTTTTGTACAGTAGCAAAGACCAGATAGAATTGTTTTTATTAATTCAGTTATTTTTGATAAAAAAAAAGAGCAAAAAGAACAAATTTTTTTAGATATACAGTGTGTACTCAAGTTGGAACCATATGGAAAAAAAATTATTATTGATTTTAGGGAAACAAAATTATTCTTGATAAAAAGTGCTTCATGACCAAAAACTTAAAATACAGTCATCAGATGTCAAATTTTTTAAGCCGTATACGAGGTTTGTCAAAAAATGTGAATTTTGTTTAAGAGTAAAGTACGTTTATTTTTGACAAAATCGAAAATTTTTATTAAGAAAAGTTGATTAGAATTAAAAATTATATTCAAATATGTAATAACACCGATCTATCTGCAAAATCAGAATTTTTCTAGATTTTGCATTGATCCATCTAATTACGGTAGCTTTTGAAACATTCTCTCTCTTCTCTACTATAAACATGATACACTTTCCTTTTCTTCATGTTTGTGAAGAATTTAGCAATTTTTTTATTGAAAATTTTCGATTTTATCAAAATTAAACGTACTTTACTCTTGAGCAAAATTCATATTTTTTGACAAACCTCGTATACGGCTTAAAAAATTTGATATTTAATGACTGTATTTTAAGTTTTGGGCCATGCAGGACTTTTTATCAAGAATAACTTTTTTTCCTAAAATCAATAATAAAAATTTTTTCCAACTTATTAATTTAAAATTACCTGATTTTTCTAATTATTTACTGTTTTTGGTCGTATAAAAAACATTCTACACAAAAGATTATTACTAAAACAGAAATGCAGATATACCTAGATCCTTTAGTAACTAAAATTGAAAGATTTTATTTTTAAAACCTTCTTTATATTTCTATCGCACGTATTTTGAAGTGGATACGTGAATTGATTCCAATTTGCAACCTTCCTACCAAATTAAAATTGTGTCCCTAAACTGTTGACCTCTGAATTGCCATTTGCTTATACCTTCTTCAACAGTGAAGATGTTTTACACGTTTACAACTTCACCTCCTATGTCTCTTACCATCACTAATAGCTTTATAAATGTTTGGTGTGAATTGTATGAAATCGTATTGCTACCAAGCTCAAGTAGCTTATAGATGTTGAAACTTTAAGAGAATGAAGACTGTGACAACCAAAAAATCAAGAGTCTACTCATGAAGATATTTTCCATGATACCTAAAACAGTTGCTAACACTTCAGCATCTTATATAGCTTTTTCGACACTAGTCAGAATTTATCAGCTCAAATAGTCACTCTAGAGTTTTATAACTTTCTGATATGAATTAAGATGCTTAAAACCCTATTGCTACCAAACGCCAGTACCTTAAAGATTTTAAAACTTTTAAGCAGAAAATGCAGATTGTGACATTCAAAAATTATAACCTAAATGTTAATTTGAAGTGACAATAACCTTGATGTGAGCGTGATAGTTTTAACAGTAACTTTTATTAAACCATTATAGTGGCTGGTACCTAATTAAGGTTTATATTTGCCACCTTTCTGCTACTTTCAGAAATGAGATCAAAATCAGTATAAAGTTGCTATTACTTTAATAACTTCCTATACTCTGTGACATGTGTACCTGTATTGTATTCAACTGTAGCTAAAAGGTAACTATCAACGATCCAGAAACGTTTTAACAACGTGACAGACACCAAATAGTGTTCCATGTTTGAATAACCCTCAGGTAATAGCACCACATCAATTACATGGCAGCAATTTTGGAAAAACAGTTTAAAGCCTCGGAGGGTTATGGCCTCAACATTCCATGTACTAAAAATAATACTAATAATAATTCACTACATCCACTTCAAAAACCGCGCATTGTAGTTCTTCCTCATGTGTTTGTCGATTACTGACAGTAGATTTCTTACCCTAGGGTTTTTCTTTTAGAAGACTACGGGGGGCGGACGCAAAGTAGTAGCGTGTCACCTCGCGGTGGCTATTGCTCCAATGCGTCGACGCCTCACTCTTCGAATGGCGGTAGTTCGTATGCAGGAGGTGGTGGTGGAGGGAACATTAACGGCGGCTACGGGGGTACTACACCTACTAGTACTACTCCGCAACTGTCGAACATGCTGCCCGCATCGCCGTCGGCCATCTTTAACAACACCACGCCAAGTAAGTTTTCGAAAATTGCGTCAAGTTTTCTTTTTTAGTAGAAACCTACTGTCCTAAATTATTATTTGAGCTGTCTCAATGACATTAACTTTAAATTACACACTAAACGTCTATTAACGTTTTAATAATATTTTATGATGTAGAAGTCGAGGTGTCAATGCCTTGCTCTTTTTGCCCATTTAACCACTATTTACAATTTACTTTTTATTTATATTATAAATTATGGGAACATCCATTAACGGTTCTTATACCTTACTTTTAAATAAAGAGAGCTTTACATATCATAGTTTAAAATAAAAAACACGTCCCAAAAATATCAAAATAAAAAGCTTGTAATTTATTTCAAAATAGTTTTATTCCAAAATATCTACAATAATTTTGTGTTCATTTTTAGGTTCTATTTTAGATACTGTCACATCTGGCAACATTTAATATTTTTATGATCTGTCTATAGTCTATTTTTATGTATGAGAGAGTATTAAAATAATAAAGCGTTCGTAATCCATAGGCGTACCACTTCTTTTAGTAGACAGTAAAAATATTTTTTGAAGTTATTCCTCGAGTATATTTTCACCTAATTAACCTGCTTATAACTTCTAAACAGCTGAAGGTAAAAAAGTGCAATTTTTTCTAAAATGTTTTATTTTTCCACAAGGTATGTTAAGAACATTATGTCAAACGGGTTATGTAGGTATAAGGGTTTAAACTTTGACTTTTAAACAACGTTACGTTCATAAATAATAATTTTAATATAAAAACTACTTCTTACCTACAGATCCAAATCAGAATCGAAATCAGAAGATGAACTGTCGCAACCAATATTTACAATGAGTGGCTCGATCATTTCATCAGTAATATTGTCCAACTTCCACATTTTCTCTTCTTCTTTAATCGTATGATTTACTGCCTTTTCCCAGTTTTCAGGCTTCACATTATTTACAGCCTCCAAAAACAACTGTTTAACATCACTCATTTTAAAAGAATTATTTTTTCTTGAAACTTCTCCCTTTATCTGTGCCCATATCAGTTCAATCGGGTTTACTTCGCAATGATATGGTGGTGATCTAACCACCGTCATCCCACGATTTTTTGCAATTTCATCAATTTCATATTGTTTGAATTTCTCTTTATGAAGGGAACATAAATGATACAGTTCTTTTCTCACAGAACCGGGATGGAACTTAATATTCTTTGAATTTAGCCAATTCTGTAAATCTTTCTTTAACCACTTGGTTGTGGGCATTTTTTCTATAAGTCTCGAGTGATAACTTGTATTATCCATTACTATTATACAGTTCTGAGGAAGAAGATCTATAATTTGTTCGAACCACTCTTTAAAGACATCAGCATTCATGTCCTCATGGTAGTCACCGGTACGAGTAGATTCAAAAGTTAATAAACCATTAACAAAACCGTTTGAACCACCGATGTGTACTATTATTAATCTGCGCCCCTTTCCTGATGGTGGATTTAAACCAGTAGATAAATTATTTAAAAAAGCCTGTCTTCGACTTGTAACAGTTTCATCTTGCCAAAATTTATTTGGTTTATGTCCCTCGTTGATCCATGTTTCCTCTAAATAAAATATATTTCTTCTTTGGTTTCTCATTTCTTTTATAGTCCTTAGGTAATTTCTTCTCCATACTACAATATCGCTTCTTTCTATTAAAATAGACTTTCTGGAATGCTTTTTCCATAGAAAACCTATTTCTTTGAAAAGTTTTCATAGTGTGCTTCGACTCATTTCAGGGTAATCCTTATCATCTCGAACCGTGGCAAGAACTTTGTCTACTGTCGGAAATTCTTTTCTAAAGAAGAACGCATGCTTTTTCCTTCGAAGTATTTCTTTCAAAAGATTTTCTAATTGAAATTTTGGTTTTCCTGGAGCTTTACGTGCTGTTTGAAACTCGCCACATTTCTGTTCTTTAACAACTCTGTAAATCGTAGATTTCTCAACACCAAGCGTACTACTAATTCCACTATGTCATCAACACTTTTACATAAATGTTTGTCTGTAAATGATTTAAAGCAATTAAATATTAATGTTTTTTTATTAACTGTTAAAGGACCGATTTTTTGTCGTTTACGCGGCCCTTCCAAATTTTTCATGATCACACTAGAATTCACACTGCACCTTGCAAGTTGCAACTAAACGACGTTTAGTAAACTGTCAAGAATACACAACTTGGACGTCCTTACTAAATGGAAAACCTATAATCTCATTTTCGGTGAAATTTATTGGGAAGGTATTTATCTACTTATAATTCGATTACTATATGAAATTCTTGGAATTAAAATAAAACAAAATTGGCAAATAGGTACTTATTGATAATAATCTTAAGATACGGCTATGTAATCTTTAATACACAGGGCTTTTGGCCTGTCCAAACCTTTTTCTATTGTAAAACTTGTAATAGCGCAGGTACATTTATTACAATTTTAGGAAATATTTAGATTATTCTGTAAAAATATTTAAAATGACCGTACTAAGTTTTGCATTAAAAATGCTGTTTTATTACTCTCTCATACATAAAAATAGACTATAAATGATATTAACTTTAAATATCTAACACTCTTAACATCTGTTAGAGTTTAAATAATTTTATATTTTATATATATATGGTGAGAAGGGGCCAATGTCTTGCTCATTTTGCGTTCCCATTTAACCACTACTTTTAATTTAATTCAATTTGTTTTTATTTTTTTAGTAATACTTTAAATACCTACTATCACACCTGGCAGCATAATTTTATATTATGATCTATCTGGATGGCACTAACTTCAAATTACTAACAGACCAAAAGTCTGTCAAAGTTTAAATAATATTTTAAGAAGTAGATGTCGGGGGGTCAATGAACTACTTATTTTGGTCCCCATTTTCCCTCTGTTTATAATTTATGCTTTAATAGTTTTTAAATTTTATTTTGACAGCAGCTAATATGATCTGTCTTAATGACATTAGCTTTAAACTGCTAACAGATTAAACATCTGTCAAAGATTAGATAATTATGCAGAAGTAACTGAGCAAGAGTGCTGGCGCAAAATGTACAATTTCTCTAAGTACATTTCCATTAGAAAATCTAAGGTTGAAAATAGCGAAGATTGTGAGTTTTAAGGTCACGCGCTGGTGTTATCATCTGGTATTCGACAATGCCATCTGGCAATAAAGTCTAGTATCTATCAATGACATACGTGAATGACGATTACGCCAGTGCGTGATTTTTAATCCTCGGATTTTCATGGAGAGTTACGTGGAATAATGGTGCATTTTGCGCCAAAATTCTTGCTGTATAGTTACTTACAGACGGCGGAGGGTCAATGCCCTGCTCTTTTGCATTTTCATTTGCCCACTACTTATAATTTAATTCAAACAGAATTATTTTAATACCTACAGTTATTTTTTTATTCTTTTTTTTAGTTTCACCTGAAGTACACTATAATTTTTCTTCGACATATTACATGAAACACGAACACACGGATAAAGAAAAAAGCGCTTTTGCTCCCGTACTCAGGGGCGGTGAAACACCCCCCGCTCCTGCTATTTTTCACCACCAACCTGTCTCGGGTTGGCACCATTTGGCTGTTTAATGTTAGTATTATTTTTGGCTGTGTTATTTTTTTTTGGTTTGCTTGTTTTTATGCTTAATGTATGTGAGATAGATAAATATAATTTTACTTTTTTCCATATTTAGATTAAAATAATTATATACACTGTTCACCTGTGGACAATATCTTTATTTTTTTTCCAGAACACTGCGTTATCTTGGTTTTTACTATTCCCTACTTTCCTTCTATTCAGGTATTATGTTTGAATGGTCATGTGTCTTTTCTAACAAATATACTTCCTGATGTTTCCTCCTCTTCCGTGCAGGGTTTACACGTTGTAAGATTATTGTATAATCCTATCACATAAAAGAGTTCCAGCATGCAGTGTTCTGTTAGTAATCCTACAATGGTGTAGGACATGAGCAACCATGGCTGGGTTTGGTCTCTTTATATCATGAAGTTACTGATTACAGATGTGTTTATATCAAACACAGGATCATGTCTTGTATTTCTATACCTCCTAGAAAATCCGTTGAAATAATGTGGGGGCATCTACCTCCTGTGTTATTATAGTATGCTTCTTATTTCCCACTGGGTTCCAGTTGTTGGAGATATACAATTTGTAGGCACGCGTCCTGGCATTTTCCTTCATGACTAGGTCAGGAGGTGGAAGATGATATTATACAGACCGATTTTATTGATCGTTTTCCTTGATGACATCTTTAGTAGAATATCTCTCTTGTTGACATTTTCTAGTAGTTCTTTTTTCCTCTTTAACTCACTCCTCAATTTTATTGAAATATTATTAGTAATTTGCTTTATGTTATTCTATGAGCTATTATATTTCAAACAGAGTTTATTGATCATAGGATCAGCACAATTTCGTGTAATAACAGAAAATACTACTAAAGGAATTATATGTGAACAAAGAGCATATATATTAAAGTTATCCAGTCATATCTAAGCCAATAGATTCTTGATAACTTTCCTCCTGATAGACCAAATCTTATTCATCGTCAACTAAAACCTATTTTGTGTCTTCAACTATTCGCTACTAAAAACGAAGCTTTTTAGAGTTCAAAGTAACAGTTTTGAAATTGAACTTATCTTTTTTAAAGGTTACTTTTTAGTCCCAGTCAAGAATTGTGTGATTAATACTCTGTGCCAAACTTGTAGGTATTATTTTTTTTTTGTAGACTTTAACTTTTGCTTTTTGCCTAAAACTTTTGTCATTTATTGTAATTTAGCGGGTTTATTAGACCTTTCTCTACACTATATACAATACACATTGAAATTTTTGGTTTTGAATTTTAGAACTAGATGGTGCTGTAGATCATCATATAGGACTAAATGATCGTTATACGTAATTTTTATAATTATTTCTAATAAATGTTGTTCTTTTTTGCAGGAATGAGTCTAGTGTCCTCTCCTTTCGCCTCTATGAACCCCTTCGCCTTGCCTACCTGCAACTCTCAAGGCTACGGCTCGTCAGCCGCCTTAGTGGGCAGCAAGTAGCCCGAGGACTGTTCGCCCACCAGCCCTCACACCCCCCACCACAACGTTTCGTCCCCGTCGGACGTGGCCAGTGCAATGTATTCCGCATAACGCGTACCAAAGACTTTAGGTGTAGATACGTATTGGCAGCTAGGTATTCGCGATGGGCTGATAGATTTGTTCGGGTTGAATTTTTTCGATATTTAACATTAAGAGAACGTTTTGTGTTGTTATTCCAATTCTTAATCTTTTAAAATATATTTAAAGTCAAAATAACTCATTTAAAGTCAAAATTACTCATTTAAAGTAAAAAATATTACCAATATTTAGTAGTTGTTCATATTTTTGTTATTTAAAGTCGAAATCAAAAGACCTAATAAGTTAAAATTTAAATAAACTAAAAAATAGTTTTAAGTCAATACTTTTATTTAAAATCAAACCATGTAATCCTAAATTTAAAAAAAATATATTTTGAATGATTCATAGTTTAGAGAAATAAAATAGGTTTTGTATTTAAACTCAAAAATTTTAAACCTTAACATTATTAGTTAAAAAATAACCAGAAAACAGCTATTAAATTGTGAAAAATGTAAATTAAAGTCAGAATATTGAAATAACTTTACAAATCAACAGTTATTAAAAGTCATTAGTTTGTATTCAAAATTTACAGATAGTACAAATTTCTAGTGATTTTTAAAATGATAACCATTTGATATATTGTTGTTTAGAGTTTATTTATTTATTTAAAGTCAGAATTTAACGTCTTAGTTTTGTGTTTAATATTATCGAAAAATTCAAAAATTTATCTTCAACATAATACATAAATTCACAAATTAAACAATAATTTACAATAAATATTTTCTATTTAAAATGAAAATATTTAATCCTAGGTCAAACAAAGTCCAAGGATTGTATTTAAACTACATATTTGGAATTTAAAGTCAAAATAACTCGTTTAAAGTTTACAAATAGAACCAATTTTTAGTGGTTTTAAAAATGACAAACATTTGATATTTTGTTATTTAAAGTTAATTTATTTGAAGTTTGAATTTAACCAATTAATTTTTGTGTTAATATAACCAAAAAATAATTTAATTACAAATATTTATCTGCAACATAACATAAATTTACAAATTAAACAATAATTTAATGTGAATATTTTCTGTATAAAATTAAACTAAATCTAAAAAATATGTTTCATATTTATACAATTTTTTTTTTTTTTTTTTTATTATAAAATTGATGTTTGATTAGACAAATTTAATTACTAATTTAAATTAACTTCGAAACAATCAAAAATATTTTATTCACAATTATTATATATTTAAAGTCAATTTTAATATACTAATTTTTAGTGGTTTCTCAAATAACAACCATTTTATATTTTTGTTATTTAAAGTTTATTTATTTAAAGTCGAAATTGAATGACCTAATTTTTAATTAACAAAGTAATAATTTTTAAAATTAAACTATCCTAAATCTAAAAAATATGTTTTGAATTGGTTATAAATTAAATAAATATATTTTTTTTTGTATTTAAAGTCAGAATTTTGAAATCTAAACAAATATAAGTTTAAAATATTTAAAAAAGAGCACTTACAGTTACAATATTTGTGCACAGTTTGAAATTGTAAAAAATGAAAATGGAAATCAGAACTAACAGTCATTTAAAGTCTTTATTTTGTATTAAAAATCAAAATGTTTATACAATTTTTTTTTAAACAAATTAAATAATAAATTGATGTTTGATTAGACAAATTTAATTACTAATTTAAATACAAAAATAAATTTTTGTTGTCATTAACTTCGAAACAATCAAAAATATTTTATTCACAAGTATTATATATTTAAAGTTAATTTTAGTATACTAATTTTTAGTGGTTTCTCAAATAACCATTTTATATTTTTGTTATTTAAAGTTTATTTATTTAAAGTCGAAATTGAATGGCTTAATTTTTTTTAACATAGCCAAAACTCAAATTAATATGTTAATCTGCAACATAATTCATAAATTAACAAATTAAACGACAAATAAAAGTCAATATTGTCTATTTAAAATAAAAACACTTAATCCTAAAGTTTTTAAAATTGTGAAACTAGTACATTGAAGTCAAATTAGTGGAATAACTACTTTAAAAAACAATAGTAATTTAAAGTCATTACGTTTATATTAATTTTTTTTGAAATCACAACAAGTAAAACAATTGAAATTAAAGACAAAAATGCATTTTAGTTGACTTTAACTTGTAAACTATAAAAAGGTATTTAAAGTCAACAAAAGTTCAATTATCTCTATTTTTTTTGTATATTTCCGGTATTATATTTTATTTATTTTGATGTAATTAGAGTTCAGAAGAATGATCGTTTAGTTCAAAACACGGATGATGAGTAAATAAATAGTTGTACACAACAATTTTTCTGCTTATAAACGAATATCTAGCTCCAAAAACAATTGTACATACCTTTTCTACGATAATGTTAATAATCTAAATTTTAGTTATTTATATATTTCTAAATAAATAAAAATAAAAACCATAAACATTCCTAAATAATAAAAAATTTACGAAAATATAAAAAACACAAAAACACATTTTTGCTCGGTTTTCTTTATGTAAATGAACTGTGATCATTGAATACTTATGAAATTTATTAAATTAATAAAAAAAATATTGATTTAACCACGGGAACCTCTACGTATTCTACAAGTCTCGTGATAAATCAAAATCGTAGTTATACGAGGGTAAGGCAAATAGTTGAAGATAAAATAAAACGAAGCATATCATATTTGTTGATTTCCCCCTCGTAGCTCTCTACCTTCGCAGTGGCGTGCTTATAATGGACTTCAGGATGGCATTTAACATTTAATGAACATATTTAAATTGGTGGTACATTTATACCACCAATAATTTTTGCGGTAACGTATATATTATACCACTCGGGTAAAAGGTTATAAAATGGCTTTTGGAAGGCATTTAACGGTCGGGACTTTTAAGTCAATGATGGTACGTATTTGTACCACCAATTTTTTGCGGTACACATATGTAACACTTGTGGAAAAGGCTAACAATTAACATTTTTTAAATTAGTGGTACATATTTATTTCATCAATTAATTTTTTGGTACGCATATGTACCACTCGGGTAAAAGGTTTAAATGGCTTCTGGAGGTAATTTATTGGCCAGAACCTGTTAGTCAACCATTTTTTAATTGATGGTACATATGTGTACCACATTTTTTTATGGTACGCATATGTACCACTCGAGGAACAAGAGTACAATGGCCTTTTCATCAATATTTTATAAATAAGTGGTACATATTTATACTACCAATAATTTGTTCGGCGGGGATAGTAAAAACTCAAAAGCTCTGTGGTCTTTATGGTACACATATGTACCATACTTGGAAAAGAAGCTAAAAAGCGTTATTGGTAAATTTTTTTAAATTAGTGGTACATATTTATACCACCAATAAATTTCTCGGTACTTATATGTATGTACCACTCGGTGAAAAGGTTAAAATTTCGTTAATTAAATTATTCTTTAAATTAGCGGTACATGTTTATACGCATATGTACCAATTCGTAGGGCAATCTTTATCCGAAATAGATGTTAGGGTTCTTAATAACATATGGTACATATATGTACCAGAACACGTTGAAGCTCTCGTGTCCTCCACTTGTAAGTACGCCATTGTTTTTCAGACTATTAATCATATCTATGACATAACAGAAAATACATATCGCTTTATAGCTGGGACTATTGAAAATTTTTCCAATAAATAAGTTGTAAATATATTAAAATTAAAAAATTGTACAAAATTGTAAAGTAACAAGAAAGGTTACGTACACATCGACTATCAATATATTTTGTAAAGTATCATATCGGGTAGATTGTTTAATTTTTGTTTTTCGTAGAGTTGTATATAATACGTTTTTTAGAATATAAAAAAGCAATTTAGTGACGGATGTTGGCATGTCGATCAAAAACATGTTTTCGAATATACAAAATTAATTTAAAAAAAATCCCTTTTTAATAAAAAAAGAAAACATTTAATATATTAAATGGTTTGTAAAATGTTTTGTTTTATAAAAAAAATTATTTATAAAATGTTTGTATAATGTTTTATAAAATGTTTTGTTTTACAAAATGTTTTTATATAATGTTTTTATAAAATGTTTTTATAAAATGTTTTTATAAAATGTTTTTATAAAATGTTTTTATAAAATGTTTTTATAAAATGTTTTTATAAAATGTTTTTATAAAATGTTTTTATAAAATATTTTTATAAAATGTTTTTATAAAATGTTTTAAAAAATATTTTGTAAAATGTTTTATAAAATGCTTTACAAAATGTTTTTAAAAATATATTTAATAGAATATGTTTTACAAAATTTTAATGTTTTGTAACATGTTTGTTTAATAAAATGTTTATTTCATAAAAAAATTATTTTATAAACTTTTTAATAAAATGTTTTAAAAAATGTTTTAAAAAATGTTCTATAAATTTTTTTCATAAAATGGTTTCATGAAATGTTTTCATAAAATGTTTTTATAAAATGTTTTTATAAAATGTTTTATAAAATCTTTTATAAAATTATTTATAAAATGTTTTATAAAATGTAAAATTAAACCTTAAAAACGTTACCAAAATATATTTTTTATTACTCATTGGGTATATTTTAACATATTTATATAAATTTAAAAAACAAATCTTGTAAGAATAAAATTTTCAACTAAACGAAAACATGTTTTTGAAAAACACTAGCAAATTTTCTTAGTAAAAGATTATCGGGTGGTCTTCAAAGAAAAATAATATATACCTAAAAAGTATACGAATTACATTTCTTAAAAAACAAAAAAATATATATAATTAATTGAATTACATACCGAAATTTACGGAATTAATGATTTTTTAAAGGGATATTTTGGAAACAAATTACCGATCGAAATATTTACAAATAATAGTCAAAGTAAAAGATATTAATGAGTTAAAATTTTGTATAATTTGTATATAGTAATTTTATTGTTGTTTTTTTTTTTCTACACTGATATTATTTTCTTTATTTTGTGCATATATT